CACAAGGCAGTTTTAAACCTCTCCAATGTGCAATCAATATTCTTCTATAGACAAATACGGGAACACTGTCAAAACTGGCATATGAAAGGGACACTGAAGGTACCACATACACAACACCCAGAAGTACCAGTGGTTCAGACATCCATATTCTGCGTCTCAGGATTAGATTCAGAAGAAACAGAGATGGTTTGTGAAAAGAGTCTCATGAATGCAAATTATTCTTGCAGTCCATAATGCGTGAAAAATGAACCAGGTCCCAAGGTCTCCACAAAAAGGGGATCCCTGGCTTCTTGCTTGTACCCCCACTCCCTGCCAGAAAAATCCTATCAGTTTCCAAAAGCAACTTCTACCCATGTACAGGGCCTTCATTCTGCTTATCATCAAGCCACATCGCCAAGGCCTAATATCCACTGTCTCCATACTGAAATCCTGTTGCACCTTTATTATGCAATGCTTTTCTTTCTTTAATTGTGCCTCAGAATTCAGGGACTTCCCTTATTTGTACTCTTAGGGGCTTTCCATGGGCTGACCCAGCCTACCAAAGCACAAAGCCTATGACTACTTTGAAAACATACATAAAAACATGAAACTCTGTGGCTTAAGTGGAGGACTTAAGGAACGACTGATTGATGTTAATGTTTATTTATTTATTTTGAGAGAGAGAGCGTGTGCAAAGGAGCAGGAAAGGGTAGAGAGAGAGAATCCCAAGTGGGGCTCAAACTCACAAACCATGAGATCATGACCTGAGCCGAAATTAAAAGTCAGCCACTCGGGGTGCCTGGGTGGCTTAGTCGGTTAAGCGCCTGACTTTCGCTCAGGTCATGATCTCACGGTTCGTGGGTTCGGGCCCCGCGTCGGGCTCTGTGCTGACTGCCAGCTCGGAGCCTGGAGCCTGTTTCAGAGTCTGTGACTCCCTCTCTCTCTGACCCTCCCCTGCTCATGCTGTCTCTCTCACTCTCTCCTAGAAATAAATAAAAACATTTAAAAAAAAAAAAAAAAAGTCAGCCACTCAACCAACTGAGCCACCCAGGTGCCCAGGAATGATTTAAATAAAATTGGGACCTAAAAATTGGTCAACCAGAGTCCTGGCATTCTCATTAATATCCACTTAAACACTGGTATTATCAGAGTAAAAGCAGGTGCAAAAAAATGTGGTCTGAGGGGCGCCTGGGTGGCTTAGTCGGTTAAGCGTCCGACTTTCGCTTAGGTCATGATCTCGCGGTTCGTGGGTTCGAGCCCCGCGTCGGGCTCTGTGCTGACTGCCAGCTCAGAGCCTGGAGCCTTTTTCAGTCTGTGACTCCCTCTCTCTCTGACCCTCCCCTGCTCATGTTGTCTCTCTCTCTCCTAGAAATAAAAAAAAAAAAAAAAAACCAAAATGTGGTCTGAGTCACAGGAAATAAGATGGGTTATTTAGGACGTTACTACAATGCATGTTTAAATTGGACATAACATGTCACAGTCAGCCATTTTGTTACTAATATATTAAAGTTTTATGTATAGATCCTTGAAACCCTGATCTTAAGAAATTTTGTGTTTTTCCCTCTGCCTGGAACATTCTTTTCTTCTTTACTCCTAGATAACTTCTACCCACATTCCATATCTCAGCTCCCCTCACAATGAGTCCCTTAGAAAGGCTTTCCCTGACTCCTCTCCCACACTCCTGCAGGCTGTCCGACTGGCCCCTCCCACACAGTCTCAGAAAACCTGGACCCTTCCTTTAATGCTTTTAACTCATCTGTGATCAATGTGCATATATCTGATCTGTTTCATATCTGCCTCCCTTACCAGACTGTAGGTGAGCTACACGTGGGCAGGAGCCGTGTTTGTATTGCTCACTGTTGTATCTTCAACACCTAGCATGGGTAAGTGTTCAGTGGATCTGGTGAATAAAGGAATGAATGAATGGAACACAACCTGAACTGTGCGTTGAAATTACCACGGATACTTGCAACAGCCCTACTTTATTAAACTAACAAGTTCCCCTATGCAAAACAAAGTAGTGATCCCTTGGAGCCAGATGTGGATCATTTTCTCTAGGCTCCCATTCCCAAACCTCCCTAATGAGATCATTCAAATCCCTCAGGTATGCCTATGGGGTCAGGAAGCTCATGAGATCTTGGGCTTGAGTTCTGATCAAACCTTGACCTTAAATTTTTTGAAACATTAGTAAGAATGGTAGATGTTGGATCAGTCATCATCCCAAAGCCTCAGGCAGACATTAAACAAAGAGCAACTAAAAAGAAAAAGCCAAGCAGCATTTTTCAATGCCAAATACAAGAGTGCCCTTGGCACGGGGTCATCGCTCCACTTCTCGGAGGTGAGAACTCCCTGGGCACCCAGAGAACCAGCAGCCTTCAGGGCATGACAGCAGCGCCCAGTAGACACCATCACCACCGATGAAGGTAGAGTCCTCCAGACGGTGACTTTGGCACTCTGTATCAGCTAAGAAGAGCCAAAGCAAGAGCAAAACAACATGGCAGACACCAAACAGTGTCTACATCTGACCTCTAAGTTGTGTAAGTGCTCATCTTTGAGGACTTCAAGCAGTATTTGATAGGTGAGGTGCTTTTAGGCCACAAGGCTCTGCAGTGTGAGAGAATAAGAACAGTAAATCTAAATTGATGCTGTAGCAACTTCATTTGTACCCGTAAGGTGCTGTGCTTGGTAAACTTTGGGCAATACCATGATGTATTAGGCATAACGAAAAGGAAAAGGGAAGAAAGTTCAGAACATTACGAGTAGGAAACAAGGGGATCTAGCGTTAAAAAAAAAAAAAAAATCCCCTCCTTGGAGAGAGAGAGAGAGAGACAGCATTAGAATCACCACCATGGGCTGTAAATATTACAAAGGAGCAGGAACTGATGGGTGAATGCCAAGGCAGCAAGCAAACACAGCATGGCAGCGATGCCCGGAATGTCAAAGCTTGGAAGTTGTCCTAATCCTTGTTTAATCTCCATGGGAGTTGTTTTTTTTCCCATAGAAATGCATCTTTAATTTCATAATGAAAATCAAGAGGCAAATGGATTTGATTTTATAGCCAACATACAAAAAGGTATCTATCTATTCCCCTAATGAGTAAACATCGCACTTCTAAAAAGAAGGGGTTCCAGACGATGATCATTTATAGCCTCTGAGGAAACTGCCTTCAGTTCACGCATTCAACAAATATTTACTGGGCCAGACACTGTTATTGGGGCTGGGAATGCTACAGTGGACAAAACTCTCTGCCTCCACGGGGTTTGCATCCCAGTGAGGGGAGGCAGACCATAAACAACGGAAGTAAGCAGAGAAAGTACTCATTATAAGGCCTTTGGAGAGGAAGCAGAAGGAAGGCCAGTGAGCATGGCAGCGGGACAGGGCCTGTCTCACGAGAAGGTGAGATTCTGATCTCACTCAGGGCAAGCTCACTCAAGCTGAGAATATGATCACAGACCTCAAGAAGGTGAAGGAGCAGGTCCGGGGTGGGGGGGTAGTTTTAGCTAGAGGGAATGGCAAGAAAAACCCTGAGATGGGGCTGTCCTTCAAGTGTTCCAGAAATAGCAAGGCTGACGTGGATGGAGTGTGCTGGCCGTGGGAGTAGAGATCAGAGGCGTGGGACAGAGGGGCCAACAAGAAGGCCTTTGCAGGCTTTGGCGTGAGTAAGAGGGGAAAGCGCTGTGGGTCTGGGCAAAGCAGTGACGTGACCCAACTCTCCTTTAAAAATCACGACTCGGGGCGCCTGGGTGGCTTAGTTGGTTAAGCGTCCGACTTTCACTTAGGTCATGATCTCGCGGTTTGTGGGTTCGAGCCCCGCATCGGGTTCTGTGCTGACTGCCAGCTCAGAGCCTGGAGCCTATTTCAGAGTCTGTGTCTCCCTCTCTCTCTCTGACCCCCCACCCCCACCCCCGGTCACACTCCTAGAAATAAAAAAGTATATCTATATTTAAAAAAAATAAATAAAAAGCACAACTCCAGGGGTGCTTGGGTGGCTCAGTCGGTTGAGCTTCTGACTTTGGCTCAGGTCATGATCTCGTGGTCCGTGGATTCGAGTCCCACATCGGGCTCTGTGCGGACAGCTAGCTCAGACCCTGGAGGCTGCTTTGGATTCTGTGTCTCCCTCTCTCTCTCTCTCTGCCTCTCCACAACTCACACTCTGTCTCTCTCTCTCCCCTTCAAAAATAAACATTAAAAACTTTTTTAATAAAAGAAAATAAAAAAGCATCACTCTGGGGGCACCTGGGTGGCTCAGTTCGTTGATAGTATGACCCTTGATTTCAGCTCAGGCCATGATCTCACAGTACATGGGTTCAAGCCCCACATCAGGCAGTGAGATGCCTGCTTGGGATTCCTTCCCTCTCTCTCTCTCTCTGCCCTTCCCTAATTCATGTGCAGGCTCGCTCTCTCTCTCTCTCTCTCAAAACAAATAAACTTAAAAAAATAAATAAAAGCATCACTGTGGTAGCAGCACCTTAAGTGAGAGACATGTTTGACCTGAAGGCCCCACCCCCCCAAAAAAATTAACACTTAAACTACTAAAGTTCCTACCCGTCCACCAACTCCACTTCAATACTCCTGCTGAGATTTTCAAACTTTGGCCAAGGGGTTTTGGCAAAAATGCCAAAAACAGCAATTGTCTTCTTAACCACAGCACAGAGACGCACAGGGTAAGACAGGATGGAACAGAGACGCCTCTCCACAACGAGTCAGGTTACACACGTGCCCAGGCCGACAGCTCCTAGACCACACGCACAGATCCCTTCGGGCCCAGTCAGATTTGGGGGTACAGTGGCTGAGGGGAATGTGAGGAGAGAACGAAGGAAGAAACGAAAGGACTGCATCTGACCCCAAACCTAAATTCAGTGTTGAGGAAAGGGCCAGAAGCGTGCCCTCCCTGCAGGACCTCAGCACGTACTCCAATGCTCTGACGTAGGCAGGCCGGGCCCAAAGACCCCCAGAGGGGGGCCCACAGAACCAGCCAAGAGGGTCCTTGGCTTCGTGCAGGGAAGAAATCAAATGTGAGCTAAGAGGAAGCGAAAGCTGAGTTTACTGAATGGCGTTAAGTGACAGCAGACCGGGTGTCAGAGAGAGTCAGAAAGGAAAGGAGAGGAAGTCTTGTCATCACTTGGGGTTAGGGGTTCACACTGGAAAGCGGTCCATGGTACATATTTCTTCAGGAATCCAGGACGGGGTCCAATCAAAGGCGAGTGACAGGTAAATAGTAGGTGCTCTTTCATAGATCATCGATGGTAGGGGCTATTAACACCAGCGTTGGCCGAGGGTTGTCCGAAGCTAATGTCCTGAAACGTTCTTGAGATCTGGCTCTCCTTAGATGCTACCAGGTGCTTAGGGGCCTGGGAAGAAACTCAGAGAATGATTAACTTTCTCGCTTCCCCCTTGGCGTGGGAACAGAGCTTCCTCAGCTTACTGAGATGCAAGGGGAAATACAAAACATTACTAAATGGGGGCTAGCAGAAAAACAGCAGGCACGGGCCCTTTCTAGACGTGGAGTCCCTTCAGTTTTCCCAGCTCAGTTCAATGGTGACTTGTGGTCCCACAGATTCCAGGACAGCCATGATTTCATACAGCACATCCCACTGGCCCCACAAACTGTTAAAACCTGTCCCTGAAGAACTTCCCACACAGCTGCCCAAAAGAAGACATCAGAGGTCTCATCACAGAGAGAAGAGAAGGGTAGGCTGGAGGGAGGGAGACCTACCCAGGGGGACTAATGATGCTCAGGAGTGATGAGGAAGGGGAGGTGCAGACGTGGTGCGCAGTAGCTGAGTAATCGGCCGGGGCCACCACTCACTGCTATGGTCCTGAATTCGTAATCCGGATTCAACAAGGCGACGGGTGTCACTCCAGGCACTCCAGCCAGTCCTCTTCCCTCTCCCCTGAGTCCTCCTGTCCCCTCCGAGGCAGGCCTGAGGGAAGAAGCAGGCAGGCTTTAGGCAAGTCATGTGATGGGGTTCCACTTCCGTCCAGCATGCACACAAACACTCGGGCACTATAAAAAAGAACACCCCGAAGAATGGAAGCCAAGCCATCATTGTCATGTCTGGACTGTGATATTATGGGTACTTCTGTTGTTGCACATCTGTGTCTTTTCCTTTCCCACAAGGAACATGGATTGTTCGCTAGAGGTAGAGGAGTGCATGTTATACTCTAGGAAGGCTTCTAACACAAATGGTTCAGTGAAATAAAGTCCCTGACACACCTGAAACTAGTGTAACATTGTGTGTCAGCTAGACTCAAATAAAAAACATTAAAAAAAAAAGAAAAGAAAAATAAAGTCCCTAAAATGCGAATGTTTTCTCATCTAAACTACATATACCTGGGGTGCCTGGGTGGCTCAGTTGGTTTAACTGTCCCCGACTTCGGCTCAGGTCATGATCTCACAGTTTGTGAGTTCAACCCCTACATCGGGCTCTGTGCTGACAGCTCAGAGCCTGGAGCCTGCTTCGCATTCTGTGTCTCCCTCTCTCTCTGCCCCTCCCCTAGTCACATTCTGTCTATCGCTCTCTCAAAAAAATAAACATTAAAAATTAAAAATCAAAATTAAACCTACATACTCCTGGACATGTCTGAAAGTAGTTCTTGAATCACTGATCAATGGAGTCCAGGCTGGGTTCTGGAATATTTGGCCAGCACATCCCATAAGCCATAGAAAGTCTGGCTTGGGGATAGTGTGGATGTTAGGCTTGGAATACAGACTCCACGTCTCCTCAGAGAAATGTGCTATACCCCCCCCCCCATTGTTCAATTTTAAGCTCCCCAGTAAAACCACTTCATATCAAGTGACTGGATTTGGGAGGGAACTCACTACTAGAGAAGGAATTCCTTGCTATCCGGTCTACCAGGATATGGAAAAGGCTAAGGACCATGATTGCTACATTTTGCTTTCCATTTTCATTTTTCTAACTGGGAGTTTTGTTTTTTTTTTTAATTAAAAAAATTTTTTTAATGTTTATTTTTTTGAAAGAGAGAGACACAGAGTGCAAGCAGGGGACGGGCAGAGAGAGAGGGAGACACAGATTCTGAAGCAGGCTCCAGACTCTGAGTTGTCAGCACAGAGCCCGACTCAGGGCTCAAAACCACAAACCAGGAGATCATGACCAGAGCCGAAGTTGGAAGCTTAACCAGCTGAGCACCCGGGCGCCCCTAACTGGGAGTGTTTAATTGCATTTATCCTTTTACCCCATTATTGTATACTGGGTACTTGGAGACTGTTAGTCATAGGTAGACTAGCCAGACTAGTCTGACCATAAGCCAGACCATAAAGATGCATGCTTGAACCTGACCTAGAGGAAAAGGGATCGCCTAGAAACACTACCCTTGGAGCTAGATGTAGTAACTGGGTGTGACATTAGGTTGATTCTCTTGATAGGGAGTATATGAACATATTTTGGTTGCACGTGGGACAGTTATGACAAATGAACGCATTCTTGTGATTTTATGCTACGTATGTCACAGGTAGCTAGGGATGGACTGCCCTGGACTCCACTGACAATGATGTCATCCCTCTTCTCCTGAGAACACACACTCTGCCCCTGGCCACAGTGGTAAGCATCAGACCAACCAACTGTAATATGTAGTCTTTGGCAACAGAGATCAATTGGTCCAAGCGTTGGGCTATATCCCAAAGTAGAGTGAATCACCTCCCAGCCTGGATGTATAATGCAAGTGCTGGATGAAAGAAGCTCTCTTTGCCTGGGTACTAACCTAAACCTGAGGGGGACAGTCTGCTGGCTCTGGTGTCCAGACAGTGCATCGTCAGTAGGGCAGAATGAGGACGACTCACAGAGAGAAACTGAGGTGCACAGGGACAAGGAGCAGGTGGGAAGGTAGGAGTTCTGCCAGCTTAAGTCCTTGGTTCCAGCTGCTCTGGAGAACCTGTTACCCCTTCCCGCCTTCCTCAGTCAATGCAGCCCTTTGCTCCTTCAGCGGGCCTCAGTTGGGGTTACTTTTGATGCCTCTAGCCTGGGCCTCAGCCGGGGTTACTGGTGACGCCTCTAGCCTGGGCCTCAGCCGGGGTTACTGGTGACGCCTCTAGCCTGGGCCTCAGCCGGGGTTACTGGTGACGCCTCTAGCCTGGGCCTCAGCCGGGGTTACTGGTGACGCCTCTACCCTAGGATTCAGCTACAGTAACTAATACCAAAGAAACCCTGGATCCATGTGGAGATTTTGTTTTGTTGTTTGTTTTGCTTTGTTTTTTGTCATACCTAAAAGAAACCTAACTAGTTTATATTTTATTCAAATCCATGTCATCTTCCCTAGTTTCTTGTTCTTAGTCTACTTTCAATTGGTGTTAAAAGGCTGCAGGATCACAATGAGACATCAAATAAAGAACGTAAACATCTTGTCACCGGCCACCCATTTGTACATTTCTCACAGCAACACCTGTGGTTAAGACAGACCTATGTTTCCTCTGTGGAATTCCCTAGCAACTGAACATAAAAAAAGAAGGCAGCCATGGGGGTTGGGGGGGCGCCTCAGCATCAAGGGGCAGCTGGGGGGTGGGGGGCTGGGCGCTCCACGCTCAGGTGAGAACAGCGTTTCCTGCACTACCTCAGAGAGCCAGCACCTAAGAGGAGTGCAACCTTGACAAATATGCGGAGTGTAGTCTCTCACCATAGGAATTACCAAAGAAGCTAAAAACAGAAACATGCACTGCATAATCTCTAACCTCAGGGGACAACAAAAACAGAGAATTGCTGTGTCAATCTCATTTCCTTGTTAGGCTTATTATCATAAGTGAGGGCCTTTCGTTCTGAACGCCACACTTGACTAACATTTACCCAGCTCTGGCTTCTGAAATATTGAATTCCATAGTAATTTTATTTTTTGCTTTTGATCTTTACTGTTTTGCTCATTTATCCATAAACATGAGCTGCTGAACTGAGTTTAAACTACATAGCTAAGGTTAGAACCTGAGGCCATCCAGACAGCACCAAACCAGTCGCCCAAGACGGGACCTCGCTGTTGAAGGGAGTAAGAATAATAACGTTAAAATTTCTATCTTTGGATACCTCCACAGAAGGTTACTTGATGATGATCCACGTCTTGATTTGTCTTGATACTCTCGTTGAGGAAGGGAAGAGATTTATATGACACAGGGATTTTCCTGGGTAAGATGGTAAGCGTTCTCATAATGTGAATTTTATAAATCCTCCCCTTTTGTCAAAACACTCTCTTACAGAATAGTTCCATGACAGGGAATTGCTAGAACCACTCTGCAAAGCAGTACTTTGTATCACTTGACTAATTTTGAAAGTAGCTCATTCAACCAGTTTTGGCAACTGAACTATTTCCTGAAATTCAGAATGGCAAAAACTTGAGAATGAGACAGGGACCGAATGGGGGACTTTAAAAACAAGTCCCAGTGCATCTAGGGTGTCCTGCATTTACTGATATATTACCGGGGGGGAAAAGGAGAGATGGAGTACATCTGAGCCACGGGCCGCCCACTGGTGCCCTGCCTCAGGTCTGGGGCAGCAGGAAAATATGGTGTCCTCCACCTATCCAGCCAGCAGAGGATGGAGGTCAGTGTGATTTTCCAGGGTTCAGAATTGAGGAAAATGGGACTCAGGGGCATGCCTAAGCTGCCTAGAGTCACACAACTTGCCCACCATCTCAGGGTCAGTGAGTGGCGGAGCCTAAATCTGGGGCCAGGGGAGCTGGTTCCAACATCTGTGCTCTTCACGCGGTTTAGGGGGAGGCCAGCAGACTAGCCTAAATACAAAGATCCCTCTCCTGGGCAGCTGGTTGTTTGGGATTAAGATATATACAAAGGATTTCATTTGATTATAGCTAATGATGATGAAGACAATGATAAGAACTAAGCTTTATTGAGTGTTTTCCATGTGCTAGGCTGTTTATCGGCCATGTATCCATTCCTGTTATCCTTAGAACAGTGCGGCCAAGTGGGCACTGTTATTATCCCCATTTTATAGAAGGGAAAACCAAGATACTGAAGGCAAAGTAACCAGTATGAAGACACACAGCTGGTAAACAGAAGACCCAACAGAAAACCCAAGCAACTAGCTCCAGAGCTCATACTCCTAACTTCTGTACTCTCCTGTTTCGAAGACACACAGATAATGGGTAGTTAGCACCAGGCTACAACTTCCAGATTCTACACTGTGCCACTCAGACTTTTATTCAGAACAACCCTCATGCTACCCTTCTACTGGCAAAAATGAGACCCTTGGAACATGGAGCAGCTTACAAGTTTCTAAGGAAAAAAACAGGATCTCTTTCAACTTGATTCCATTTAATACTCTGGTTTCTCTTCAGATCAAATAAATCTTTCGCCTTTTTCAACTTGATTCCGTTAAAAAAAAAAAGTCTATACTTGAAACCATATCTGTGTTCTTAGAAGTCCCAAACACCTATGATAGTATCAACAGACTGAAAACAAATATCCCTATAGGTTCAACATGGGGGGGAGGGGGGCGGTTCTGCTAGGCAGCTAGGCAGGAGCCACACTTCTGCTCTTATCTTCTGGATTCATGAATGACCTTTCTTGGGAAGCCTGGAATCCCAGTTGGAAGAGGAAATAAACAAATACAGAACAAAACCACTAGGCTCTGTCATTAAAGGGAAAGTAACAGCTAAGTAACAGCTGCTGACATGCATATTACAGAAAACACATTACTTGCTTTACAGAGCAGACTGTGTCACAAGTCAAGTCTCTGTTTGCACAGGTGTACCTGTCCGTGAACAAACAAGTCCAGATCAATCCTCCTAAGTTTCACCAAGTAGAAAAGAGAGATAGCAAAGCATAAAACTGGCTTTTGATATTCAAGATGGTCTTCCTTTGTCATTTCGGTTTTTTCCCTTATAATTTCAAGGAAGACTTTTTCCTTGTTTTAGGGAACATCTTT